AAGGAAGAATACAAAGGGGGTAAATTCTATTGAGCTGCACTGTATTTCGATCATTTATTTATTTATTATTTTTCATATAAAAAGAAAAACTGTTCGCATAATTCTATACAAGATTAAAATGTAAAATATTATGAGAACTTCTGACAATATAAAAGAGGAAAGGTATTCGGTTACATTAAAGTTGGGTGTTCCACCGCGTGATATCATAATATCATACGGTGGAACACCAGCTTTAATGTTACCAATAAATTAGGACTACATTTCAAGGTTTTTGTTAAAAACACTACAATAGGAGCTCAATCAAGGTTCTAAACAATCTACAAGAATCACAAAATAAAATCAATGAAATTGATGATATTTATGAACATATGAACGTGAATGATATATTTAATGCACTTCACGACAGAATACCTTCCATTAAAACGATTTAAGATAAAATATACTCGATAATACTGCTAATACACCTTTCTAAATCAAGATGAAGTATGCAAGGACTATATTACAAATGTTGGCCGATAGAAACAATATAGAGAATATTTCTTTTCAATCGAGATGACTTTCATATTATTCAAATAAATCAATTCATAAAAGTAATATCTATTAAGATGATGATTAACAAGGTCACGTTGAAATGAAAATTGATAGTACGATTAACATGATTTCGATTGAAATTCTATGTGATATTTTGAAATCAATCAACTGAAATGTTTTTAGTTGAAGCCGATAATTGTTTTGAAAATTTATTATATATAAACTTATATAAAATAAAACTATAACAATTTCATGTAAATCATTTAAACTATTAGAGAACTGTTGACTTGTTTTTTTTTTGTTCGAACATTGAGAACAATCTATAGAAGGACAATGCAGTTTTTCTGAATTAAAACTTATATCTATTTCAATCTCTTATGTCAGATAATGGTATATATTACATTCAGTTTACTATTTTTCTTTCTTTATTTTTCTGTTCTCTATTGTGGTATGATGCTTCCAGTATTAATAGTGTCGTCGGTATGGGCGTGCGCGATAGTCCTGTAGAATAGTAAAGAAATAACATCTTTGTTTCTTTGTGCTTGTGAAATTACATGATGAAGAAAAAAGAACAGAAAATATTGCGTAAATACAATCTTAAATATAAGAGAACGTGATACTAACGCTATCTATTACTTACATTCAAAATACAAAATGAATGAAAATATTAATCGTAAGTAAAAATTTCAAAAAAAAATCTGATAATTATTCAAATAATAAATTGTTATTTTTTGTTCAGAAACAATCTTGTCATCAACTATTATAAAAAATCAATCATTTCAATCATTAAAATTATCACCAAATGATTGGATTATATCTTCAATTCATAGTATTAGTTGTATCTATTTTTATAATATTCAACAATGGTCATTATATGAAAAACAATCAAACGATATGTTCATAAATGTTGAACGATTAATCTTAAGTTTAAGAAAATTACTTGAATATTATCCATTATTAAATGGTGTATTGAAATTATTCGATGAAGATAATAAAGTATCTATAGTACAAAATGATTCTAAAGGTGGTATTCTATTTGTTTCTACAACAGTTAATATTTCATTAAGTCAATTACCATTATCATTTGAAGAATATACAAATGCTAATATAATACCAGCAGAACTTCAGTTAGTCAATATAGTTGATGTTGATACTTTATTTCATGTTCGTCATACTCGATTTTTATGTGGTAGTGTTGCACTTGGTATTAGTTTAAATCATCAAGTTGGTGATGCTCATTCATATTTTCAAATTGTTAAAGATTGGGCACAATTATATAAAAATTTAGACTATCAACCAAATGTTTGTCATCAACGATCACTTCTTGAACTAAATCTAACAGATATTGAAATATTGAAAAAGACAAATTCAAATTTTAACAATCGAAAAAGTCTTTCTGTAAATATAGAAACATCTTCATTAGTTCAACAAACAAAACAAATCATTTTGAAAACATTTCGATTTTCAGCTGATGAACTCAATCGAATGAAATCCGATGCTTCTACTCATTTATCATCTAATGTAACTTATGTATCAACATTTGATGTTCTTACTGCTCATCTTTATCGACATGTAATGCTTGCTCGTAATTATTCTAAATCATCAATTACAAAACTTTATATTTCAACTGATATACGTCCACGTCTAACACAACCATCAATTCCTAATACTTATTTTGGAAATGGAACTATGTTATCTTATTTAGAAATGAATATGACAGAATTAATAAATACAAATTGCCTTGGTTTATTAGCTAGTCAAATTCATAAAGCTATTGAAGAAAATAATAATAATGATATACGAACTACACTTTCTTGGATAATTTGTCAAATAGATAAAAAAAAGATTTTACCAACATGGAATTTAGATGAAACAGATTTTACAATATCAGCTTGGAATAAAATGGGAATGTATTCAGATTCAGATTTTGAATTTGGTGTTTATCCATGTCGAATTTTATTTCCCAGAGATACAAAATATAATGGTGCAGCTAATTTATTTTCAACAGAAAAAAATGATACAAGTATTGATGTCATACTTGGATTAGAAATTAATGAAATGGAACGAATGGAAAAAAATTCAGAATTTAGAAAATATCGTGTATAGATATAAAATAGATCAATAAATTGAAATAGTTTGAAGATTAATATTTTATTTTCAATTTTTTATGCGAAGAAAAAAATCTATTATAATTCGAGTTTTATTAAATATAGAATCGCATATCTATTCTCCCAGCCCTAATAAAAAAAGAAGCATGATCCAAACTATCGTAGAAAACAAAAGTCTCCATCCCGGTCGATTTCTGCCGTTAATCCTTAATTACAAAGAGAGTTATGATGGACAGCACCTATTTATTGCTTTGAACATCATAACCTAAAAAAGACTGTCTACAAAATTTAGTGCTGGTTTTTATTGAAAATATGACTAATTCTTGATATTTTTACATCTAGTTGAAGTTTCGTTTACTGTCTTTCTTCATCCAAAAGATAAATTCATTTGCTCGAATATTAATTTTTCTGAATCATTGGAGCTAACAAGATTTATTTCTAAAGCGTGTCGATAATAATGTCTAACTGTAGAGAAAGCTTCTCAAACAGTCTGAACCCATTTCATTGAACTATCGCTGAGTTATTGACATCTACAAGGCAGTGGGTAGTTTCTCTTCACAATGATGACTACAGTAATATGAGCATAGTCTTTGAAACGATTGATGAGCTTCAATGAAATTAGTAATGTAGATAACTAGAGCATAGCATTGCACAATAGAGAGTCATCTAACACAGAATATTCTTCCTTTTCAGAATTATGAGACTGCCAACAAAAATAAGTGCCATCCATCATAACTCTCTTTGTAATTAAATAATAATTGCACCGTACTCTTAATGATCTACATTTTCTGTGAAGTACATGCACACAAATTCTCAAAGTTTCAGTACATAAAGCAACTGAGATTGACTGGGATAGAGACTTATGTTCACTACTATAAACACGATTCATTTCATTCATGTGTAAATGAACTTTCAATACGGAAGATATCAGAGATTAAAACAAATTACTACATAGTAGCAAAATTTCTCGTATTTAAAATGATAGATATATTTAGATAAAACGATGTCTTTATCATTCATGATACAATAAAGAGAATTGCTGTCGATAGAGAAATAGTGAAAAATTTAGTTTGAAGTCCCATGAAGTTTTTACAGACTTTTGAAATTATTTGTAGTTCACGAAAATTTTAGAAGAAAACCAATTAAACTGTTGAGTTTTCAATGATTTTATTTTAGTAGATATTTGAACTTTTATTATTTCGTCAATCTGCCTAGAAAGAAAAGTCTAAGGTCTTTAGAATTCATAAATACATTATAATTAATAAACGAATGTTTTTGCAACGAAGTTATCTATTTCTCTAGAGAGAGATGTTTCATTAATGTAATAAAAAATTTTAACTTAAAAATAGGAGTTCTTCAACATAGATCTGATCGAATGAAATATATGCATATCAATAATGTTCATTGCATTAGTCTTTGTTTCATCGTTGCCTTGTCACATTGTAACATTTTTAATCTTCTTTGATTACATCAAATAGATCACTATTAACTTTATTACATTCGATTGGTTTATCTTCATCTTTAGAATTTAATATTAAATCTGAGTTAACCATCGAATAATTATCTGAATTTATATTCAATCTAATACTATCAAGTATTAGATTACTTAAATTATTGAATTCAAAAGCATTACATTTCTTTAACAAAGTTTATATGTTCAAATTACTAAATATTACTTTTTTATGATTCAATGAAACTAAAATTAGCATAGTTTGTGTTGATTGGAAGTCATTATGCTAAGTACAAATACTTAAACACGAGGAAACTTCAGTACGAGAACGTTTGTACTGAAAAGTTAAACACAGCAAAAAGAAAATAAAGATGAATATGACATCTATTGAAAAATCAATGAATGTATATCGGCTGCG